GTAATGAGCACCTCATGGCTGCTCCTCAGGAAAGGGGAGTATTCGGCTTATTCATTGTGGATAGAATGGAGTAGGATTAGAACTCCTGTGTCTCAATGGTTAGGATTTCATTTACTTTTCTGTAAACCCAACAGGAAAAGAGGAAAAAAAATGTCACCCAAGACAGGGAAATTCAACGGTGATTCCCTCACTTTGAAGGTATTTTCGTTCACTTCCTCTTTTGGCTAAGGGAAGTGCAGGAAAATCTCCCCAATAGGACACAGATGGCAAATTGACAGGAAGTAACCCTTTACTCTATGCAATGAATTAAAAAAAAAAAAAAAAAAAAGTTTTGCCTTTTAGCTCTACTTTGGAGCCCAACTCCAAGCAAATAAATTATAATTTTTGTCTAAGGGAACAAAAAAGATTTAATTACTCATCCTCCGCTCCTCCCCGTAGCTAGACTGGTGTCTGCATTCCCACATTCCACTGGTCTAGGGTCCTTTTAGGAGCACTGCCTGCCAGGGGGGGATCAGAAAAATAAAACTGTGTCTCCTCTCCCCTAGACAAAATGAGCAGTTAACCCCTGCAGTGTGGGTGCAGGTCCACTGCAAGGAATCATTTATTTGGCTGGAGTTGGGCTTTAAGATCTAAGCAAACAAATTCTAAAACCTATAAAAATAATTAAAAAAAAACAAAAAAAAAAACCTTTCAGCTAATGTGCAGCACATGTATAAGGTCTCCTATCTTGTATAATGGAGATTTCTCATTGACCTTGACTGACCCATCGTCAGCATTTTGTAGCTCCCATCACATCCAGCTGTCTGTACTGTCTTCTCTCCCCCGTCTATCTTCTCATCCCCCGTCTATTGCCTTGAGGGGAGGTGACACGTCCTCCACCGTGTCCTTATGGTTGAGAACAGAATAAAATGTAACTCTGAACGCTGTTTACTAAACAACATGTATTAACTCCATTTATACTGACATTTCCTCCTGTATCCAGAGCTTCTCCTGAACATTTCATTATTTATGAGCAAGGCAGGTCAAAATACCTTCCATGGGTAATGAGTGTGGTTTACATAGTGCTAGAGGTTAACTCCTTCACAACGGCAGAGCTAAGAATTCTATCTACTAAATAACTACCCTAATTCTGGTTAAGCTTAACTTTTCTTGTTTGGACAAACTGGAAGAGTGTTACAACCTATATCCATTTTTTTTCTTGCCGTTTCCATAACCCTCGTTCTCAGTATGGTTATAGAAGACAGCCAGTGATCCAAACCTCACCAAACAGGGACCTGATCACTAATAAATTTTTCTTAAAGAATGGGGAAGGGTGAGATCTTCTGTCAAGTTTCTATATTACTGAGAATATATTGACACATGAGAGGTTCCTAGGCCTCTAAACCAGCGGTATCAAACCTTTTGACTTTCCTGGGCCACATTGGCTGAGGAGGAATTGTCTTGGACCACACATAAAATACACGAACTATAAGGATAGCTGATGAGCAGAAAAGGTCAGGCAGATCACAAGTTAACTATCACTAATAAAGAATGATGTACCTCTGTGTAATAAAACTTATTGTAATATTTTTTATTGTAAAAGAAGGCATCATAAAACTAGCGCAATACTTGATGGTTTTTGATAAACTAACACTGGTTCGATGGATGGAGTAGCAATTCTCAATGAATTTTCAAGGTGCTCGTTCGATTTCTGGGTTCTAATTTAGCCGTACGTGTGCTTCATCCTTAAAAATAGTTGCTCACAAATATAGCTGCTGCCGAAAACTGACATGTATAAAGTGTGATTGTGAAGAGTAGGAGATTTTTCATTGGCAAGATAAAATTTGACATTGTCAAATATTTCTTCGGCTCCATGTGTTCGCAACGTGTAAATGTTTTTATTTACCAATAATTCCCCCCAAAAAATCAACATTTTAAGTGAGTTTATGATTTTGTGTTGGGCTGCATTAATAGCCATCGTGGGTATTAATGCCCTAAATAGTCTACTGAGATGCCCATTACCTGGACCTTACGCTAATACAGCCTAGTCAGAAATCTCCAAAGATATCTTTTCCTAATGAAGGTTTTTACTGCTGTTTTGATAATCCCACTGATGAGATCTCTTCAACTCCTAATTGGCCTCCGGGATCTCTTCACCTCCTAGATGGTCCCTGGGACAGGAGTTGAGGTAAAACCTCCCCAACAGGGTCACGGTAGGCAATTGAACCTGGCAGGAGCTATGACCCTTCCCTACTCTAACCAAAAGCAAAATTACGGTTTGTCTGGGGTTTGTCCTTGGGGGGACTTGGTAGTCATAGAATTTTAGTATTTGTCATGGTAAATCGTTTAGAATCCAAATCCAATTGAAAACCATGATATGGGTTTTCAAAATCAATCCACCCAGAACGGTTTTCAGTAGTTGGCAGAAGTGTCATCACAATGCTGAACTATGCCAAACAGTGCTGATGTCCTAATGTGCATGCCGATCTATCTCTTCTTCCAGAGCAGTTAAGGAATGATCTCAGGTCTTTGTGTGGCTGGCTAGAAGATACATTCATAAAAAGCATGTATACTGAAAATTCTTTTTTGGAAGGTGCAAAAGCAGGCCTAGGACTAGGAGGAAGGTAAAAGTAACTATACATGGGCTTATATCCTTGTGTTTGGCCCAATTATATCAGTATCTACTGTTTTGACATTCCCGTCTTTGCCCATAAGACCCACTGTGTGCAGTGGATGTTTCTGGAACAACTAGCTTGTCATGTGTTTGTTCGGAAGGATGGCTGACAACAATAAATCTCTTGTTTTTGCCTGATAATTGCTAGTCACGTGGAACAAATAGAGTCTAGAAGGCGTAAAAAATCAAAACTGTTGTCTGGCTAATCATTGAATTAGTTTAAAAAGTAAACCCGTCAGGATAAAATCTTCCAGTAAACATGGATCATTTTGAGGTTAGATGCATTGGAGGTTTCTTTTTCAGATGATTCAATGCATTAGAGTGGCTGAGCTGACAACAATATGCTGGAAAAAACTTGTGAAAATACGTTGTCAGAGGTAGGATTCATTATTTGTTGCAGAGGCTGTTGGAACAATATCATATTATCTAAATAGTTAAGCCTCCTCCCTCGCCCTTGGTGTTGTATGCCCCAATGTGACCTCAAAGACATTAAGGGCTCATGTTGAAGGTCATTTTCCTGCATTTTGATTTGCATTTGGAAGAAGAAGCACTGAATGCAGGTCAGCAAAATCCTATTGACTTTAACTGAGCCGTACTATGGTGGTTCAGAGTCTACATAAGGATGCAGCATGTCCTATTGTGATGTTTGAAATTCTAGTCCAATGTAGCCTTTTCTTGTTAACACTGGGTTTGCCATCTGCAGCATCGCTCCACTAACTTCCTGGGTCTCCTAAGAGACAAAGGCATAGGTGAGCCATAGGTGAGCCATTGGCTGAGCCATGCTGTGTGTGGATGCACTCAACCTGGCTTGGGAGCCTGCCTACACAGGTGCCCCCTTGGCACATGGCTTGCTGAGGAGGCACCCGTATGAAGGAGCAGACAGTGCTGGCGGGGGACTTCCAAAACCGAGGTGAGGAACCACTATGTGCAATATCATGGCGCAGAGCAGGTAAGTATAACAACATCTTTTTATTTATTTATTTTTTTTTAAATTGCCTTTTAGTATCACTTTATCATATTGCTAAATCCCTCCAGTGAGTCTGTGCTGTTTCTTCAGCTGCTGTATTATTAGTCATATTTTCGAAAGATACAGGCAGATGTCTGTGGTCAGACTGAAAATATGTCTGAGTTCTAAAAACTGATGACCTTTCATCTAAATTATATTTAGGAAACTTGTTGCAAAGATTTCCCCTTCAGATGTTCTCGTGATGTTGCGGTAATGGTTTACCCTCTCAGAAACCACCAGCACCTCCACCCTGAAGACCCCAAACACTATATAACTGGGCAGAGCAAGATGTACAATATAACTCAAAGAAGCCCATCAGAATTAGGTTTCCACTCATCTAAATTCCGCAATTGAAAATCTGTTTAATGACAATTGCTCTATGGCAGAGGTCTCAAACTTTCAAAACAAAGAGTCAGATTACTGTCCTTCAGGCTTTATGGGGCTGGACTATGGCAATGGAGTAGAAAATGTCCCAGCTTCAGTAGGATTAAATAATAACTTTGACATGGTTGTCAGTGAGGATAAGAAAATTACATAGTGCCTGTGGTCAGTAGAAGGAGGAATAGTGCTCCTTTACTGCTACCAGTGGGAGGAATAGTGCTCCATCATTAGTATCAGTGAGAGGAATAGTGCTCCATCATTGGTATTAGTGGGAGGAATAGTGCCCCATCATTAGTATCAGTGGGAGGAATAGTGCCCCATCATTGTTATCAGTGTGAGGGAATAGTGCTCCATCATTAGTATCAGTGGGAGGAATAGTGCCCCATCATTGGTATCAGTGTGAGGAATAGTGCCCCATCATTGGTATCAGTGTGGGAGGAATAGTGCCCCATCATTAGTATCAGTGTGAGGAATAGTGCCCCATCATTGGTATCAGTGTGAGGAATAGTGCTCCATCATTGGTATTAGTGGGAGGAATAGTGCCTCATCATTAGTATCAGTGGGAGGAATAGTGCTCCATCATTGGTGTCAGTGGGAGGAATAGTGCTCCATCATTGGTATCAGTGGGAGGAATAGTGCCCCATCATTGGTATCAGTGGGAGGAATAGTGCCTCATCATTAGTATCAGTGGAGGAATAGTGCCCATCATCAGTGGGAGGAATAGTGCCCCATCATTGGTATCAGTGGGAGGAATAGTGCCCCATCATTGGTATCAGTGGGAGGAATAGTGCCCCATCATTGGTATCAGTGGGAGGAATAGTGCTCCATCATTGGTATCAGTGGGAAGGTAAGTGGGAGGAATAGTGCCCCATCATTGGTATCAGTGGGAGGAATAGTGCCTCATCATTGGTATCAGTGGGAGGAATAGTGCCCCATCATTGGTATCAGTGGGAGGAATAGTGCCCCATCATTGGTATCAGTGGGAGGAATAGTGCCCCATCATTGGTATCAGTGGGAGGAATAGTGCCCCATCATTGGTATCAGTGGGAGGAAATAGTGCCCCAATCATTGGTATCAGTGGGAGGAAATAGTGCCCCATCATTGGTATCAGTGGGAGGAATAGTGCCCATCATTGGTATCAGTGGGAGGAATAGTGCCCCATCATTGGTATCAGTGGGAGGAATAGTGCCCCATCATTGGTATCAGTGGGAGGAATAGTGCCCCCATCATTGGTGTCAGTGGGAGGAATAGTGCCCATCATTGGTGTCAGTGGGAGGAATAGTGCCCCATCATTGGTGTTAGTGGGAGGATAGTGCATCATTGGTGTTAAGGAAAACATTGGTATCAGTGGGAGGAAAGTGCCCTATCAGTGGGAGGAATAGTGCCCTATCAGTGGGAGGAATAGTGCCCCATCATTGGTATCAGTGGAATAGTACCCCATCATGTTGTCAGTGGAAGGATTACTTCAATGAAACAGATAAAGGCTGCAAAGGACCACAGTTTACAAATTCTGGATGTTACATGCAGCTCATATGTACAAACTGGATGTTAAAAAACTAAATCAAATTGTTGTTTTGGAAAAAAATAATGCATGTATGTCAATACATTTTACATCACCCATTGCTGCATCACCTAGGTGGATGCAGCAAAGCTGCATCTGTTCCCCGCCCACCTCTGAGACCAAGAACTGAGGAATCAAACACAGTTGATCGCTCAGGTCTCACAATTCTGTCTGTGGAGAGCCAGTGACTGTCAGACTGCGGCTCTCTGCTATGCCCCTCCAGCACGCTCACTGGAGCATCGGGCTGTGGAGGGAGCAGGAGCGGCTGGCAAAGGCTCCTAGCTGTTTTTGAGAGGCTGAACCAGCTGCCAGTTCAGGCATCTGGGTAGATCCAGACTTTAAAGCCAGGATCTTATCAGAGCCTGGGCGGCTGAGTGGCGTGTCACAACGGGCCAAAGAGTGTAAAACCAAGTGCACTGCTGTGATCATAGGAGAAGGTAGGGCCAAAATGGCTTTGGCCATATTTCTCCTTTTTAATCCTCATGAATAGTTAAAGGATAATAACCACATCCTGAATTATTGTAATATTCTCAATTAAAAGTGTATCTAAAGTCATTTTTTAGAATTGTGAATAGGATGTGAGAGGGATTGCAACCTCTGTCAGGCTTTTATAACTATATGTGACCCTTCTGTGGAGGTTGACCCTCTATTTGTCTTGGTGGCCATGAACACCAGGACAGAAAGTAAAATCCAAACATTTCAAGTGTCAGCAGAACAGAAATAGCGAGGAGTTCCCTCACTTTAGATAGATTTCCTTACTTTCTGTTTTTCTACTGGAAAGAAAGTGAAGGGAAATCTTCCCAATGTGACAGACTGCAAAAACTCACTGGGTTTAAACATTTGCTGCTCTATTCAAAAATGAAAATAAAAGCTTCTGGCTGTAGACCTAATTAAAAGTGGAACTTTACTCTCGCTCAGTCAACATTAACTATTTTTACCATTGTCACTAGCCCCAGTAAATAGATAGGAAGGTATATTATATTTGCTTGTGTGTTTTTTTTTTTGTTTTGTTTTTTTTACATTTCTTCAGTTTGTTCCTAGGCAAAAATGATGTGCTACATTCATCTTCATGGGCATTTTTTTTCTTTGATCTGAAAGAGGGGCTTTCTCTGCTAAGCACACCCTCCTCCCTGCATGCCTGAACTAAAGGCAGGTGGATTCAAAGATGTAAATGCTACATGAATCCCCTTTCTCAAGATGGCTGCAGCTATAAATGCTAGGGTGGTGTTTTTCTAACTGTTTTCTTAACCAAATTCAAATGTTTGCTTTGAATTTTAAAAAAGAATGAAATATTGTTTTTAGTTTTTTGGTGCTCAGATGCAGTTTAGTTCTGCTCCAAGGCATTGTTTGATGTAGCTTTCATGTTGATTGCATATGAATTGGCTGCTGTCTGCATTTCTTGCAGGGAAAAGGTCCATGCACCTTCTTTAAAATGCAGCTGCACATAAATCTCATGGTGTTTTTTTTGCACTATGCATTTCCATGTGTGGGAAACCGCAATGTGCTTTTCAGTGCATGGTGGTGTGCCATTGAGAGTTTAAGGTATCGCCACGCATTTTCTGTGCCACCGCATGTGGGTGTTGGAATGCATGTGCCTACATTCATTCTTAACACCCCTCACAGATGTGAACCTAGCCTTCTTGCACGGAAAGCCACGCATGTTCTCTATCAGGTGTTTCCTGTGAGAGCCAGTCATAGGGGTCTCGTGATCAGGAGCCCATCCCACTGACTGCCACTTGGAAGTTGTGACTGGGAACTGCCATTAACTGCTCAGTCAGCGCACTCTCGGCACACATCCTCAGGCCAGTGTAGACATGTGTGTGTTGGCTGGGCATTAAAGGTTAAGGAACAAATATAGTACATTTTCTGGTACCAAATACATTTTATTGAATGAAAATCAACAGGTTATAGAAACATGAATGATACATAATAGAGCAGTCATTCAAATATAGTAAATTTTCAACGAATAACTTATAAAGATATAGTTCCCAAGAAAGGTAGTAGTATTGGGATATAGAAAGGTTGTTGTTTTTTTTTTTTTTTTTTTTGCCTGGTGGATAAGCCTTTTGTCTAAGTCCTGTGTAAAGCCATTGAGAGACATTTTTGTTTACCGAGACGGTTTTCATAGTAGACATCTGCGACTTTACGCTTTTTGCACTTGTCTTCTGTTCATGACTGAAGTCCGCACCCACTGCCGAATTTTGGTTTGTCAGATAAGTCTGCTCTCATTTCCTTTTTTAAACTCCAATTTCTAACTGATCACGTTGCTGTTTCATGTAAGCAAATTTGTCACAGTAATCACCATCCTGGATGTGGTCTAGAACATGAAGATTTGTGGTTATGTTCATTTGTTTCCCTCCCACTACCTCAATTCCCAGCAGTTTCTGTGCCCCATCTGTTCTTTCTGATGTAACTGATGCCACCAAAGTATTTTAAAAATAATGGCACCTTTCTGAAAAACAACATTTTTAAGGACCACAGTTGGCATATAAATAAACCACTAGTTATGCACTATATGGACAAATGTCTCTGGACACCTGACTGTCACACCTATTTACATTAATATCAAATTGCTGTGTTTTGCAGCTTTAATAACCGCCTTTCTTCTTGGAAAGCCTTCCACAAGGTTTTGAGTGTTTTTGTGGGAAATCATGCCTGTTCTGCCAAAAGAACATTTTTTATGGTCAAATGAGAAGACCTGGCCTTATTCATCCTAAAGGTGTTCAGTTGGGGTGAGGACAGGGTTCAGTAGAGGCCACTTGAGTTCCTCCACACCAGACACATCAAACCATGTCTTAATGAAGTTGGCTTTGTACACAAGGGCACAGTCATGCTTGAATGGAAAAGAGTCTTCCTGAGGGCCCAAGCTCAGTAAACTTACCGCCCCAAAGTTGTCAGTCTGCCCCTGGAAAAGTCTTCCTTAAATTTACCGCAAAGTCAGAAGTACACAATTTTGTAAAATGTTTTTGTTTTCTGTAGCATTAACATTACCCTACACTGGAAACCCCCCAACGTCAGTAATTTGGAGGGGTGGCTATATTTTAGTAATATGGTGTTTGTTTCTGGTGTGCTTCTGAGATTCCCTTTGTCAGAACTCCATTTTTGCCTAAATATCAGGTTAAAAAAAATAAAATGCTTATAGGTGAATGTGTCGCTGTATCAGACACCGAGGACTTGTCATATGCCACTTTGCTGCTGGTTAGGAGGGCTTCTTGCTCAACACTCCTGCCAGTCAGCTGTTTTAACTGTACTGCCAAGCTTCTTCAAGACAACTGTGGCTTAGACAGCTGTATTGGTTTCTTGGCACGATGAAGCTCAGCTTAGGAAATCCATTGTCTGTCAATGTGGAAAGTGCTAGACATGCCAGAACAGCCTTAGAAACTTGATTAGCAATGGATTTCCAAGACCAGGCTGCACTGCAATAGAAAGCTCTTTGTGATAATAGCCATGGAGCTACATAGCAGAGCTTCCAAGACAGCTGATCAGGGGTTCTGCATGAGGAGACCCCCTTTAATCAGCAGTTGTAGTGAGAGGGTCATGAAATAGTTTCCACTTTATATAGAGAATAGAAGAACTCTTGAGTACAGAAAAAATGGAGCTGCCATTGTTATTTGGGTTCTTAAAGGTGCAAAAATCTGAATTTTTAATGGCAATTCTAGCATGTCATTCTGATTTTGGCTTCACTATGTAGTGAGTTGCTGGCCTAGAACAAGCATGAGGGGTGAGGGTTGAATTTTCTTAGACCATATTGGCTGCATCTTTGTTCCAGGTAAGTGACTAACCAGTTGCTTACCTTAACCAGTCCAGGACACTTTTTGGTTTAGCTGTGCACCAAGAAGATGAATTTCCTATCTGAAAGGCCAGCATATGTTGTATCTTCAGAATCATGGTCTATTCCACAATGTATTTACATTTTTTTTTTTTTTTTATTTTTTTTTTTTTAATGGAGATTGTATGCGAATTGAAAATGACAAATATTCATTCCACGTGTTTATATTTTTTTTACATTTTATTTTGATAGAGTGGTGAGGTGTTAAGAACCACCGTCACATTTTTATTCTGTGTGTCCCTGTTGGGGATGTTCACACTCTCAATTTGCTCTGATCACTAGTGTCACCACTTCCATAAGTGAGGGAAAATCCAAAATTTTGTCACCAAACATTATAACGGGAACAGGGAGGACATATTTTATTCCAGTTTTAGACACTTTTTATTTTTTCTTTTTTTTTTTACAGAGTCACCTACAGTCTAAGAGGATTTTTCTTACTTTGGGGGAAAGATATCTTCTCACTTCTTGTTGAGTCTAACAAACAGGAAGTGATGTAAAAAATCTGGGGCACATATGACTAGAAAAACTTGACAGGAGTTTAAAATACTGATCTGCTACATCAGTGTTTGTCTCAACCAAGGCTTTTAAGTCATGCCACCCTTTTAAAATTCCTCACAATCTCTAGTAAGGCACCCCATTCTAAAATGTACAAAACTAATAGATTTTACATAATGCAGCAACATCTTCACAATGTAGGACACTTGACAATGGTGGTGATTTATTCCTCCAAAGCAATTACGTCTTTGCTTACTGGTAGTGACTACTATTTCAGTGTTTCCTTCTCCCTCAGTTTCTCGCCCCCCCCACTCAGCTAATGTGACACTAGTG